CAAGGAAAGAGGAAAAGAAAAAGGTGCTGCATTTCAGTATTAATACTTGTCTTAAAATTACATTTAATGCCAACAAGTTGTGCAGATTTAACTAAACTTTTAACCAGCAAGTAACCTGCCTTTCAGATTAGACTGCTCTTGGTTCAAACACTGCCTTCATTGTTGTTGTAGCACTGTATCAATATAATATGGATTTTTCCCAGTTAACTGAATTTAAAAATGTCCATATGTGTGTATCTGAAGCAAACCATACTTGCAAGCCTTAGTGCAAAAAGTCTTGTGATGAAAGAGTTGCCTTAAATGCTGTTACTTTCCAGGCCCCCTACCTTATACCCTATTTACAAGAAAGGAATAAGAAGTGCACATTGTCACAGCAATCATTCAACACCAACAGCAGCAAGCACTAGCAGAGGATTGACTAGCACAATTCTACATGGTAAGACCTAGACCTCTTAACAGATGGACCTTATCATCCATTTTTCAGATACTAGAGCTTTTATTTGAACCTGAAGCCATAAAATTACCAGAATTTGATTCTCAGACTGGTAGAGCCTGTGGATACTAAGAAAAAGCCAGGTGAACAAAAGAAACACAGAAAGAAGAAAAAAAAAAACCCCAAAATTGAAACTGAAAATCCCCAAGATAAGGGAATCAATCACAACAGTAACATTAGAGAACTGCAATACACAAGAAAAATTTAATAAATCGTTTCTAGTTTGACATCTCAATCTGATATTCTAACTTTCTACTGACAATATAGTAATCTAAATATTGTTAACCCAACAGTGGTAACAATGCAATCTAGTTTCCGCTGTTTAGAAAGACATTGAACAGCTAAAATGGAGGCTGTACTAAATAAACACTGAATCTCAATTCATGCTATCTCCAACTTGAATATAGCACAGCTGGAGATCTCTGCCTGTTTTAGAACAGTATTAGCATAAGTCGAGTCTGGCTAAGCCATATGCAGTCAATACATCACTTTTTTAAAAGCCTGACCATTCCGTTCCTAATGGAGTTTTCTTGAGTGATAAAATTTAATTCTGTATTTTTTGACATCACTACTGTCAAGGTTTAAACATTTCTTCCCAAGTCTCCTACATTCCACCCTAAACTAACATTTTCTTTTCACATGCCAAAGGCAAAATGTGCATTACAAAGTTCGTAACTCCTTGTGAAATATTAAATCTTCTAAATCTTTTTTCAAAGAAAAATACACTATATTTAATTATATGTAAGTTAATTATACCTTTGCTTATTTTTTCATACATTGATTTTCAGAAAGCTAATGTCAGTTCTGCTCCTATTTTATTGGCTTTTTTAAAAACATGTAAGACCATGATTTTAAGATCAATGATAACCATATAAACTGGAAACTAAAACTTCAAAATGTGAATCCCAAGGAGGAAAAAAAAAAGTTTCCAATCCACCCCTCAGAAACATCTAAAAATTACATTGCAAAAGGCACCATCCAAGACCCAGAGAGTAGACAGGGAGATCTGAAAGTATTAATAATTATCAAATTTATACCAATCGGCATAACAGATTTGATGCTATTATTAACAGCATCACAATGGCACAAGACGACACAGATTTTTCAGGAATTGTAGGCAGAGGAAAAGACAAGAGAAGCTATTTATTCATATAATAAAGTTGAGAACATTTTATTTGATGTTCACAATGTAGTAGAAAATAGGTCTGATGAAAGTTCTGAAGTGATAAAGGAAGAAATTAGATGGGGAAGAGAAACCAAGAAAATAGAACAGGGCACAACTCTACTGTAAATTGAAGCTTATAGATGATAAAGAAAAACTAACTGAACTAGCACCTTAAAGAATTTTGAAATTATCAAAAAAAACCCCTACATTCTTTCTTAATAGAGTAGAATAATGCAGAGCAAATCGATTATTATTTCTTCCACATAAGCAAAAGGAGCTTGTAGTTTCTAAAATTAATTAGAAAAATCTAACAAGGTTAGGTCTACCAGTTGTTTTTAAACATAATGGTACAGATGCAATCTCCATTTTGGGAGTGAGGAATCATTAGTGAACTGCCAACTCTTAGAAACAAGAAGAATGTTTGCCATTCTTCCACTTTTGGAACTACTAACAGGACAACGAGCTTGCAAGATCATCAGTTGATTCATCATGACTTTCTCATTACAGGGAAGCATAAGAAAATAATCTCAAATCATTTGATGTCAATAAGCATCACTTGAATAATCTCTCAGGGAAGGAATATACTATCCAATACATCCATCTCCAGTGACCTGTACTGGACAAGCCCCCCATATAAATAGTGATTAAAAAGTTCAACGGTACTAGAGCTTACAAGACAGTGTCCTCCATTTCCAGTACTATTAACTCCCTCAGATTTTAAATAAGTTTAAGTATTTCATCAAATGATTTACCTGTCAGGTACATTTCTGGTATCTCCTTGTTCTCTAGGAAAGCAAGAATACGGGTGTAGAACATCATGTACAGAGGAGAACAGATAACTTGTTAGAAAGCTGAACTATGACATACTCCTTATTTTATGCTATGTCTTCATTATTAACTGTATTTTTTATACACAAGTTGCAACTTCCTTTCATGCAATATTCTGGAAGCATGTCATGGCTAAATTGAAAGACAGTGAAACAATAACTACACATACCAGCACAGAAAAACTACCTTTTTTTAAAAAAAAAAAAAACAAACCACACAAAAACAAAAAAAAAAACCACTTGTGGAAAACAATTTAAAAAAAAACAGTTTTAGTATAAAATTTAACTATACAGTACACACTGAAAAAATATCTTTAATAGATCGGCTGCAACGCTGTAATGTGCCACTAGATGGCAAGTTTGGATAGAAATTAGTAACATTTTTATTCATGGCTTGATTAAAAATTGCAAGTGCATAGTAAAGAAACAATCATGGAAAAGAGAGTGAAGGAGAACAACAAAAAAAGGAAGAGTTCAACAAACCTCAAGTCTTCTGTATTAAGCACATTTAATACTAATAAAAAAGGCTAAATGGGTTTTAGTTTTGTTTACACATCTGCCACACAAACCGATAATCAATTCTTATGAATTTACTGCTCACAGACAGGGAAAAACTTTATATTTGGTCACAGACAGCATCACTGGCCATAGCAACCATGAGAATCCAAGATCTGAAGGAAGGCTGAGAAGGGAAGCAGTAGAGTCAGATCCTAGGAAAGCAGGCTTCAGCTTATGCAAGGAACTACTAGTTAGGATTCCTCAGAAAGCAACCACAAAGGGGTTAGGGGTACACAACATCTATAAGAGGATGAGAAATCCGAGTTCATTCATTTTCACAAGGAGTGATTTCATAACAACCTGTAACTACTTAAGAGAGTTAAAAGAATAACAGAGACAAACACTTCATAGTGCCAGACAATATAATACAGCATCAACAGCCATTAATTGCACTTGAGGGGTTCACGCTGGACATCAGGGGGGAAAAAATAAAAATAAAAAAATCACTAGAATAGTACAGCAGCACTGGAATAGGTTGCACAGACAGGTTCTAGCATGCATCCTTGAAGGTTTTCAAGATTCAACCAGACAAGGGCATGGCTGCCCTGATCTAGTGTTAACAACATCCCTGCTTCAAGCAGAAGGCTTGATAGAAGCACTTCCAATAGCATTTTCACCTTGGTACAGCAGAGATGGATATGGCAGAGTTTGCACACACAAAAGGGCAGTCATTCAATACTAAAAAGCTCTCTGCATTTTGCCTAATTTTGATCAACTGTTACTTGCAATGTGAATTGCTGTTTGAGGGCATTACTTAATGCACTAGTAAAAGTTTTGGCAGTATCTTCAGAGACACAGAAAACAAAGGCAGATTTGAATTTACAGATACATCTACTAATAGTATTTTAGTCAGTTTGGCTGGATCTGCTACTGATGTGCCTGCCATAGAATGAGGTCACATACCGCATATTCCCGATCTATAAAGTGTGCAACACCTATCACACCCACCTTCCAGATTAATGAACAGTATTTTGAAAAGTACAATCTAAATCTAAAATATCATCCAAGTTATTTAAAAACATTCAGCTGCAATATGTCACTTTCTTGTCCGATTGATCCTGTAGCCAAAAAAGTACGATGGTATATACAATACTGTTGGAAACAGTCATCCAAGGAGGAGCTTCTACAGGTGAGTTCCCCTAACGACAGACACCTCATTTCTGTGTTGATGTAAGGGTGGTACAGAAAAGGAGCAGGAATCAGACAAGTGTGCTAAGAGCAAGTACTGACAGCACTAACCTGGGTTGCCTGTATTGATTTTTAATCACCTACTGCTTCACCCCTTCAGATCAATATAATACAGTTCTCATGTTTTTGAAGTCATGTTTAAACAATGAAGTTAAAATTACTGCTTCATATGTTCTTTACAATTCTTCATAGCAATGTCTCAAATTGAGAGGTCCAGAATAGTCAGCTGACTATTTGGATTACAAGAAACTGTTTGATTTCCAGGAAATATTATAAGAATCATTATTCTCAGGAATAAAACTCTCCATTGTGTAATCACACGATCTTCCTTACTCATGTCTTGGTCTGCCAGGTTTTGATCTGCCACACCATTCTCCATAATTTAGCTTTGATCTTTTGTTGCCAGCCTAAACAGAACTTTTTACTTTGTTTTAAAAGAAAAACAAATCCTGTCTTTTAAATCAGCCCTTTCTGTAGCTTACCACAGCATCATGTTTTGATATTGCAGAAGAATGCAAATAAGCACAAAAATTCTTAACAGAAATATTAGCAAATATATCTCAAAAATTTCCCCATGGTTAAATTCAAAACTATTAGCAGGTGATAAAATAGTGACAGGGCAGAAATTAAACTTCTTGCTTATCTGTAATACATACACAAACCTCTCTAAACAAAAATACCACATAAGAAACAAGGTGTATTTAAGTGAACTCTGAATTTGTCTAGTAGGGTAAATCTCAAAGAACTGAAATGTAAGCAGAAGTCTTACCTCATCAGAAGAGAGAAGGTAAATCGGTGTTAACACAGGAATCTCACTTAATTCACAACTCAGGCCAAGTGATATCAGGATGTCCTTGAGGACTTCGTATCTCTTGGTATTGCTTATCTTAAGCAAATTAAAATCCTCTTCAGTTTGGACATCCATAGAATTGATATCCAGTTCCAAGTGTGCCTGGCAGTGCAAAAGTAATAAAAAAATATTATTTTGTTGGTATTACACATCTTAGCATGGCAGAGAGAGATAAGTACAACAGATTCAAAAGCAGCTTTGTCCTGACTGTGGTTGCTGAACTATCCAGTGTCACTAGTGCAATTTAAAAGCTTTTCATGTCTTCACTGTATCTACATAAGCAAGGCTTTATTATCCAAATAAACTAGGGAATACCTATATATTTATAGTTTCCAATTCAGGGATCACAGTTGCCAGTACACTACAATTTTCTCTGAAACCTACACAAAATATCTTTTCTTAATAAACTGGTCTTCTCCTGGAAGAGTTGTTCAAACTTATATTTACTAAATGAAACTTCTCCTGCTTTTCCTGTCTGCTAGCAACAGCAACATAGGGTCATATTCTGGCTTGTACAAGAGCAGAACTACATTAAAACTGGAAGAGCTTTATCAAAGGCTGCAAAAGATATGTTAAACTCAGGCCGGGCAAGTCCTTACTGAGTCACGTGAATTAAGTAGCGATCAGTCCAGATAAAGAAATGCTTCTGTCTTAAAGAACTAAGAACTCCAGAGTACCACCTGGTAGAGAACCATTTCTCAAGGCTGAAGCAGATGCTTAAAAGTAGAAATGAAATGCAGAAGAAAAGAAATATCCCTTCTAGACCCTCTTTTTGGTTTGTTTTTTTGTGGTGTTTTTTTTGTGTTAGGTGTTTTTTGTGGGGTTTTTTGTTTGTTTTTTAAAAATGTTCAAAGATACTTAGAAGTCTTTCTACCATAATAGAAGTATATTCATTTAATGAAAATCACAAGCTATTATCTTTGTTAATTTCTCCAATTTCGCACCTTTTAATGATATTCTTCATCTTTCATATATGAGCTACTTTATAAAATTCAGGAAAATATGTTGAAGTGGGGGATGGAGGGAAACAAGCATATAAAAAAAGGAAAAACAATAAGTCTGTGACAGAATATTTAATGGCTGATGTCACTGTCAGTCCCCTGAAGTGAAAACAATAAGGCTTTTCAAATCCAGACTGGAAGTCATTTAAAATTATAAAATGACACATTAATCCTTTTAATCTGATTTTTGAAGCTATACTGTAATGCTCTTTTTCTGGGGAAAACCTCTGCAGTATTAAGTTTTACTACAGCAGAAGGGTCAATTTAAACGGTACAGCAAAGCAGGTTTTACCATGGAACTTGCAGAAACGGATAGCTACAGTATCTAATCAATTTTCTAGTACAAGCATACAGCACATGGGTGGCAAAGCTTCCTACATAAAGCTATACACGCTACTATGTATAAGAGAGTTTCCAGAAAGCTAGCAGATTTAATCTGATAAACTGATAAAATACCAAAACACTTCTAAGAAACCAGATGAATATTTTTGAATTACGTAATTGCTAGAAGAGTGTATGCTACCTGATACGTAAGCAGTTAAATTTGAGTGCTGTGGGCTCCTGAGAAAGTTCACCTGTAACTAAAACATTGGTAAGAATAGGTCCTAAAATCTATCATAAAGTTTGTTCAGCTATGTCTCCCTTATATTCCTCATCTACTTAAATAGTGGTAAATAAATCTTGCTCTGCTTTTCTTAGTGTGCTGCTTGAAAGCAAAGACAGAGTTAGGGAAGTGATATAACTGAAGAGACACGTTAAAAAGAAAAATGTCTACCTCTGCTCATACTGAGGCTAACTCAAACCTTGCAAGTTGCCTTCAGGCTCACTTTAAAAGTTTTACTACAAAACGGCTGAAGTCTCTCATATACCCAGGTGGACACATGCTTATGAAGCACATTTTTCTAAACTTAATGGTACCTCTTATCAGCCTTTCTATCACTCTAAACTTTAGACAGTTATCTGAATATTTAAATAATCAGTAACCAACATCAATCTTTAACACAGCCATGGAAGCTTCCTCACCCATTATGGAGTAAGACAGGGAGTAACAATAACACCAAAAAAAAAGCAAGTTTCCACCAGACTAGATTTGGCCTGGCCCCCTCCAAAAAAAAAAAAAAAAAAAAAAATCATATATTACCGATTGAAAACATATCAAGGTTTAGAAAACAGAAAACAAGTTTTACAATTTTAATTTTGGTAGTAAGTAGAAAAAATACATTCCAGTTGAATAAAGGGGTTTTTTTAATGTCAGACAGCAAGGCCAACATCATAACCTAACACCCATCTAGAAATTTGTCATAATCAAAACACTGCTCAAGAAACCATAAAATGGTTCACTTCATTCACAACACTAAGATACAATCAGAATATAACTGAAAAAACAGTAGCAATACTAGCAAAAAAAGAACAAACAGACCTAAATCAACAATGGCATTTCAGTGCAAGCAGAGACTAACCTTCATTGTGTAGTTATTTGCTCAAGCAAGAATTGCACAGCAGTTTTTCTAGACATAGCACACAACAAGTATAATAGAGGTTGGGATTCTCATTCACTAGACAGATTTCCAGAAGTGCCGGAAATTTACTTTAACCTTAAACCTTAAGAGAAGATGTCTTTCAAATTTCTTGCAAGGTTTATTTTATATAATCTCCTGACTCTCTGCTTCACCCTAGTTCATATTTTTGTAAGGATGTCTCTTTTTTGACAGTATAAGCTTTCACCCCAAGTCTACTGACTCAGCTCTTCCTGTTCCTGCCTCCCAAAATCTGCAAAAGACACAACTCCAAGCAGAACAAAATAGCTCGCTCTTGAAGATGCTAGATTACTATGCAGATCTGCTCTCTCCTATATCACCTACTGTGATCTTCCATGATCTACACATGCATGGCTACATGGTGAAAACAAGGATGTGGAACAGCAGTGACAGTCTCTCCCACTCTTTAAGCTTCCTGAGGATCAAATGAAAACCATTCTGCATTCAGAGCCCTTGTACATTCACAGAGACATTCATCTACACCTCCCCTTGAAGAGCAACCCCAAGAGCACGCAATAGGACTTTTTTAGCATAGCACATCATGCAGCAATGAGCAAGTTAATGCCACTGCCTACACGGTACCTGAGAAAGAATGGCTTCTCCTCCACTGTCTCCATAAGTCAAATGAACAATAACTGTATCTTTATCAGCATTATTTAATCGACTCAATATCTTCACTTTGCTCGTATCTTCCTTCATCACTTCCTCAAAAATATAGCCACTGACCAAAAGATTTAACTTAATTTCGGTGCTGTCCATTTTAGAGACCACTAATTCATGAACAGTCTTCTTCAGTTTGCTTTTTCTCTTCATTTGTATGCCATCAAATGTAAAAGCTGAAGAAAACCCTAGAATCTTTCCACCTTTAGATAAAAACTTCATAAATTGTTTATGATTCTCTTCAGAAATAGGCTCCTCTGTGGCAATGATCAACAGCAGTGAATTATCAACCCACGGATCTTTCAGAACTTGTTCCTCATGCAGCTGGTAGACAGTGTAGCTGTCTGTATCAATGCATTCCTGAAGGATTGATTTTACCTGCTCAAATTCCACTTTTGCAGCTTCAGAGCCAAGATAAATCAATATATTAGGGGGCTTTCCAGCAAGGTTTACTCTCTTTATTCCTTTTGCTAGACAGTCATAATTCTTCTCTTCCAGTTTGCTACTGCAGTCATCAGAAAGTTCTGGAATGTTTTCTGCAGAGGCAAATCTAACTGATTCAATAGTACTGTTTTCAAGTTGCAGGCATTCATGACAGCTGGAAAGATGTAAGCGATGATCTTCTCCAGCACCTGTCTCTTTGTCAGATAGACTGTTGGATTCATCTTCATGCTCACTTTCTTTCTCTAGCTTGGATTTCTCCTCTTCACCTTGTCCTGCAGACTCAGCTATCTCTAACCCTGATTTAACAGTAGTCCCAAAAGCAGCAGCAGGAGTTACTTCATCCATTTGTGTACTGCTTGCAATTTGCTCTTTCACAGACGGTGCCACCTGTGCCAACTCCTTCAGAGTAGATTCCTGTAAATGGACAGCTGAAAGAGTTAAAAAAATAAGAAAAAGGGGTTATAAAAATTATATTAAGAGATGTGTGGAATATCAGTACCACGGCAGGATTTATATTTAAATTTCAGTACAAATAATCTATAATAGCAAGAATTTTACTTGTTTGACACAGGAAATCCTACCCCCCAAGAACTGTTTACTCTAATGACTCTTGGTCAGGAAAGTCTGACTGAGAGCACAGCACTTGACATTTACATGGCACATTTAAACAAACATATATTGTGAGTCCAAAAATATTTGCACAAAAGTAAAACATGACTACTACTGTACACAATGCAGGTATGTTCTTGGTGGAACCACAGTCTATGGGTGGAAAGGTGAGGAAGTTCTCATAAATGCATCACCTTGTCAGCTTGTTATTTTGCCTGTCCCTCCATCCCCAGCAAGAGACAAAATGAAGCAAGGGAAATACCTTTGGAAAAATACTGGTATTTTAAGGACAGCAGGGTGAAAAACTACTTCCTGCTGTTTTGAAACAAACTAATAAAAAATGATATTAGGTAAGCTGGAGACACTGAACCATGTCTCTTGCATTGTTGCAGATAAAAGTTTGGCCCAAATAAAATGGAGTTAAAAAAAAAAAAATTCAAACTGCTTTCAGTCTGCATAAAGAAACATACCCACCCATAGCCAGTCTTGAGAGCTAAAAATCCAAGGGAAAACTAGGAAATAGGAACAATTGTTAAAGCTTCCCCTTTCTCCCCTTTAAAAGGACAGAAATGCAGAGAAAAAATTTCTGGCACATAAAAGGGAAAAAAGAAGAGCAAAGATTATTATTGTCAGCATGAAACTTGCAGAGCAAAACTAAATATGAAAGAGAAAAATACTCTTCATAACACAACTTCAAATCAAAGTTTGCAAAATTTTACTGAATCCCTCTCCGCTCCCGTAAGGCCAAATAAACTTACTATGTTTTTGTCTTTGAGAAATCAGAAACATTCAGTGAGAAACTTGATTAACAAAATAGTGAACTGGCACACAGTACAACAAATCCAAGTTCAATCCCTTTCTTTGCTTAACACCACTTGCATTCCCTTGCAACTATATCCCCTTTGCCCAGTTTGGAGCAGAAATCTGAAACAAGATTTTTTTGACATTCCAGGAGAATTTCACAGCTACCAGTCTATATGCTATTCCATCAACAGCCTCCATCAGCTGTTCTCATGGAGCATTTCTAGCATGCACACAGTACCTGAAGCAAAATGAGTCAGAAAACATTCTGAAAAGTAAATGACTGGGGCACTCTCTCAGTTTCCATCCCTTCCCTTCATGAATATTTTTGCAGAACAGCACCCAGCACCAAGAGACAGTTTCACATCAGATACATTTGTGAGCATACTCCTACCCTCTTGCACCCTAGCTAGCTGTTCTCTATTTTGTTATTCCCTGACTTCTGCAAATGCACTATGATCTACATAAAAAAAACCCATCAACCAAGCAAACAAAAAAACCTCACAACCAAACATTAAAATGGGGGGGGAGGGGGGCAGATTTTTTTGTAGCCCAAGTGTTTTTGTATTATTCTAGGTGATCCACAGTTTTATCAACACAGCTAAGAAGACACAACTAGGCAGGCAGAAATGAGACTGTTGCCAAAGAAAGAAGTGTGGCCCTACCCACCGAGAGCCCACTACAGTACAATTCCCTACAGACTGCATATTATGGCACTTTTAGAATAATGCCAGAAAAAAGAAATTCAAATTTCATGCAGCCACAGCCCAGCCAATTCCATTTAAGAATGGTGTTACAAGTGTACCCCCAACTACTTCCTTCCCCTCTCTGTGGAACTAGCCATGAACTTCCTCCCTGCCTTAGCTGAAACTATTAGACTAATGAGGACTCAACGGCTCATAGTTTTGCTATCATTAAAATCACCTCCTAAAGAAAAAAAAAAAACATTCACCAAAAATTCAAAATTCAGTTAACTATGACACCACCCTCCTTCCCCTGGTTATCCTTCTCCCTGCTCAGAAAGCATCTGTAAGCTTTTCTCTCAGCGATCTACAGGATTAAGATGCTCAAGTTACAGCAATAGTTCTCAACCTATGTTTAGCTTTGAATATACTTTTACTTCAAATCTGGAAAAACAGAACATTTGCTTAAAACCTTCCGTATTTTTTTCAGCTAGAGTAGTTAATCTAACAGACAAGATCTACAGAAACAATATTTTCTAGCCTTTGTGATATACATTCATGCATTTGCAAAAGGTTAAACACCATCTTGCACACTCTGAGATCTCATCATACTAAGGTTAATTACTGGCAGTAGCTTATGAGGTATTAAAGAGGGAGTTTTATTCCAAAAATCTTTTGAACCATTTTTCTGTTATTTCTATTGTTGGATTTGTAAGACGTTCTGTAAACAGAGCTCACTCAGAAAGTGGTCCTAACTTTTCCTTGATCTCTGTATTTGACAGTGTTCAGTATAAAATACAGTAGTGCTACAAAGTAATGAACTGTCTAAAATGACAATAGAAAGAAAATCATTTTGCCAAAATAAAAGCATGTTTCTTAATGTAGGTATAAAGACTATCTGAACAGTCCTAAAATAGCCATGAAACAAACATGCTTACTATTACAAACAATACATGAAGATACTTACAAACAATCTTGTGGGGCACCATTCCATTATCCATTTGAAGCCTATCTTCCATGAATGCTATTCCAAGGTTACTGAAATTATCCACACTTGCTTCAGCAATTAATTTATAAGGTTCACCAGGTTTATAGGCCAATGGTGAACAATAGTCTGACCACTTCACAATCTGGAATAAAGCATATGCATGTTTTCAGTTTCAAAAGGTTACAGAAAAATATCAAAATACTAACAGTATTGTGAGTCTGCAAGATGAACTGCAAATAAAAATGACCCTTCCTTCCCAAAGGATTCTGCTATTAAAAAGCAAGACAATAGGCAGAGCCAAAAGAAGGACGTTACTAAACCAAAACGGCACAACTGGAAAATCCCAGGAACTGGAAGTGATGTTAAAGAAAGTAGTGTAGTTTTGTTTTTTTTAAAAAAGTGTATCTGCTAGTATTATAGAAGAATAAATTGGTAGAATCACTTTTAAGATTTGATTCTTTGATGCCTGATGTGTTTAAATCAACTACTACATTTAATTGTATTGTGAGACAACACACCTCAACTAGAGAAAGCTTTCCGTTGACATTTCCTTTCACACAAAAGTGCACCCTTCATGCCTACAAAGGTCAATGTATGAGACTGAATACAACCAAAAGAATCTACTGAGGAAGGGTCCTGTAGCAAGCAATACCTGCTACAAGATTCATTCCTGAGAGAAGTAAACAAAGCAACATCCACAACAAGTGTTAAAAGCAAACTGGGAGTACAAACACATCGTTCCCAAAGATCAATGCTATAAAGGCTTCAAGTAACACACAAAACAGCAGGAGAGTATTATCACATTCTGTAAGTAAAATTCTGTCTTTATGTCCAAGACATGGTGGCTTTCAGCACAAATTCTAAGAAGTATGCTGATAAAAAGGGCAAAAGTAAACTACTAGGGTTTAATAAAAGTACATCCTGACTATTAGAAGCATTAACTAAACATGGAAGATTCAAGCTGCTTATCTACATCAAAAATTCTGTTCTCCAGAAAAAAAAATAAAAATATGAAAGTGACACACTTGGGTTTGTTTTCTTCAAGGTTTGTTAAACCCAACCTACACAGCTGTATGGTCTTGGAGAACAAATGTCCGTTTCAAGTTCAACTATTAAAGCCACAAGTGGAGGAAAAGTGAAGAGAGTTTTGGTTTCCTTCCAAAAGGCACTCATGTTAATGAAGACTACAAACTTGTCTGCTGACTCATAACTGAAACAGATCCCTTTTAAACCTTGTGTTTATAAACCAACAGTACCTAAAAAAACAATATTCAGGCAATTGACAAACACAGTGATTTAAGAGTTAATCCTGAAAACAGAAACTGAGTAAGACACCCAATTTCAATAAAAATTGTGTGAATGATACCACAGCTTTGATTCTTTATAGAATACACAAACCAACTGTTCTCCTGTGAAGGCATTTTTAGAGACAAGAAACACCATCTGTTTTAACAACCTAAAAAAGAAAAAAATTAAGTCTTTGCCATTTAATATGATCCAAATACTGGGAGACAAAGCTTAATTCCCACATAGCAACTCCAGCACTTTGACACTGTCATCACCAAAGCACTTCCATGAAGTTCACCCTTTTATCACTACACACAAGATGTATCATACTGATTAAACACATTAAGAAGAAAAACACTTCTTTTGAACACACAAAATGAGGGTTAGCTCTTGGATATTTTACTTGTTCATAACTTTATTAGATTATCAACTAAAGTTGGCTTTTTACCTACTGCAGTTAAGTGATTTACATAATATCCAAAAGAATCTGTTTCCAGCTTTTGACTTTACAGTATTTCCCAAGGGAACAAGAAGAAATAAGACAATCAGATTTCATACAACTTTAACGGTCACGTCTCCTTTCAAAGTCATTCTCAAAAACAGTCTCTGGTTAGTGCAACCCACATGAGACCATCCAGTCCATGATCATATTGGTGGCCTTTGGATACCTAACAATAAAACTGGCTGGGTATCTTCTGATACATCACCTATGCTAACCATTACCAAACAATTTCAGTTTCAAACAGAGAAAAAGATAGCAGCATGTGGATGGTGTGTTGGTGTTTACCACAAGGTCAGCTACATGCTTTAACATATGGGTTAAACTCCAACTCCGTAACAAAAGAACAAGTAACAGCTTCAAATCAGTCACACCAGAGAGGCAGCCCTCAAATTCAAAACAGATGCATCACTCAGGTCCTGAACTCACTGGACATAACAACCACTCACTAGTTAAAGCAACATAGTGAGTTTCTACCTCCAGGATGTTCTGAAAGGTCATTTCCATGACTGTACCACAAAGAAATATCAGCTCCGAAGTTACAGGATATATTTCTGGGCACACTAGTATTGATCAGTTCTGAAGGAAAACAAAATCTCCTTCTGGAAGACAGCCATACCAGACCCCAATAGATCTGAATCACTGTAGTTGGAGCATCAGTCATACTTCACTCCACTGTCACTGGGTAGTCTGTGACCAAGTCAACCAGAATTGCCCCAACCAATTGCCTTGAGTGATGACCTGGACAACACCATCACTTTTCAGGTGGAAGGCTGTGGGAGCTATGGACACACACATGACCAATATGATCAAGCAATGCCAGTTTACTGAAGGTAAGCAAGCCCTTTTATAGCTTTCTCATGTGCACGTGAACGGTACATAGTACAATCCTTATGATTGGATAGTTAGCTTTGTCCATGCGCTTCAAGCCTTCTTGCGATTGGATAATAAGCGCCACACTCAATGTCTTTTTCTGCCCAACCCATCTCCTGGAGTTGTTTGTTTGCCGAGTTCTTTGTTCTATGTCCTTGTCATGTCTTTGCTGAGGCGTGCACACGTGCAGGATTGCTCACATGTCCATTATCTCCCAACAAAAGGTACTCCCAACTGTGTTTAGTTTATTGATACAATATCCACAGTGGGAATGGAAGTTACCAGTTTTCTTCTCTATTTTTCTCAGCATATGACTCTGGGCTACTCTCTGTGGTGGAAGATAAGAGACTCACATCGAATATAGATATCCTTTCTTACCCAGAGAACAGGCACAAGTAGGTAACACCCACATGTCACCCAGAAAGTGCAAGGAAGGTGTACTGATGCTCTTGAACTTTTTCTCATGGCACTAAGTGAAACATTAAACATCCTAACAAGTAAAAAGTCGTTATTGCTGCCTAACACTAATAAAGTGAATACACAAAAGAACCTTATAAAATAAAGCTGTTGCCAAGACCTATGACCTGTAATCCTGCTCACACAACAATCCATTTGCTTCACAACAGAACAAAAATCCTCAGAGAATACTTTCAATGGTCCAAGATTTGTTGCTACAACTAGAACTCAAAGTTCTGTCAGTATATAGAAAGGCCAGCTCTTAGCAAGAGATGAAAAATTATTTATACTACTGCTTTGTGAGTCTACCTCAGTTTCAACGGAACCAGTCACAGATAACTGACAGCCCTACAAAGATTGGCTTTTCTCTCTAGAAATCCTTATAGGTCACGGGAGCAATCTGTTCTTACAGTTCCAGTCTACGTTGACAGCTGGGTGCCAGAGGTAGCAGAATTCAGAGCGCTTTGCTAGAAGTGACATGTACACAGAAAAACAATAAACAAAATAAAACAGAAGTCCTTTTCCTCTTTAGTTTTAGTCTTCTGCCAGGACTATTGCTTTTCAGCTTTATAAGTCAAATTAATTACTAATGTCAACATAAGTAATGCAACCATTTTCCATTCCAAAGAAAATGCAAACAAAACCAGTAAGATTAAAAAACTCCACCAAACAATAAAACCCAACAGAACAACAAATCAGAGCTTCAATGCAGATGTTTTTGTGGCTCTCTCTGCTAGAAAGTTTAAAAAAAAAAAAAAAATCTCCATTAACCTTCTGTCCAAGTTCGCCCAGCACTCCCCAGGTACGCTCTTAGACAACGTAGAGAGCACAGCAGATATCCTACCTTGTTTACTTCCCAGAAGCAGGGCCCACCTGGATGGATTCCAGACTCTTAAATCAAAGGCAACAAAAAGATTTACAAACCTGCTAATATGGCTACTTCTTGTGTGCTTCAAGGAGACACAAGGCCAGTGGAAGCAGGGTCAGAAGACTTCAGCAGAAAAGGTCTCAAGAACAAGCTTCCAGTGCCATCAGTCCTCACACTCTGAGCTTCACAGAGATAATGATTTTGCCTGATGTAGCACTTCACCTGGACATCAGTCCTCTGGAGGACAAAGACTAACATGCTCCAAAACTGTTCTAGAATTGAGAGGACTCCATAGAGGGTAAAGGTACTAAAAATTTGATTGCAGGCACAAATCTGGAATTTTTCCCATTCCCAATCTGTCCTTCTGTTCCTGCAGTCAAGCTAGATAAGTCTATTTACCAACCACTCTGCTCTCAATGTTCACTCCAGTGGAGGACTCCTGGATCACCTCCTAGAACAAGTGGCCTAGAAAATAAATGTTCCTCACCCAGGGAAACAGACAGGCCACAAGCACTGGTATATGTGACAGGTTTCCTTTTAACTCCAAGAAGGCACTTGAAACCTGATGCCAGAAAGCAAGGATGACAGGTGGCCCTTTAGGGTGCTAATCAGGGGCCGTTCAGGAAGACACCCTATCGACTGCCTCCAGCTTGTGGCATAGAGTGGTTAATGGAAGGGCTCTGTCAATTTATGGTACCCCAACAACCAGACCAGATGCTTTATTACTGCCTACCCTGAGATATCCTAGCATACACATCTTTCCATTTCTCCTCTCCCATAGGCAATGAGGTCCATTCTGTCCCTCTCACTAAGGGAAGCATACAGCACACACAGCAAGTAACTGTCTTAGGAAGACACTACGATAACCTGTAACATGTGGAAGACTTTTCCTCCCTGCAAGGTAACTTCACCTCTTGCTTTGGGTTACAACCTTTCTCCCCTTCAGACCTGCATCGAAGCTGAGATGCACAGGCAGCAAGCATTCCTTATGTGAGGAAAAAGTTGCAAAAGCAAAATTTAGGGGAGTGAGAGACATTATCTCAGGGTCATGGTAAGGTTTACTAGGGTCTGAATACTATTTTTGTGCATAATCTGTTTAGAGATATATATTCACTAATTCAAGTTTTAGAACATCACCTGCTAAATCCACATCTTCACAATTTCAGTATGTGGCAAAGGCACTTTTTAGATTATTAAGTGCCTAAGACATGAGCATTTTGTTAGTATGCTTGCCATAAGGATTTCACTAGTAGTTTAATTTGTATCTTTGGATGCCTCAAAAACATTTTGTAAATATTACACATTAAAAGGCAAACACAATTTATAAAATTCCACCATGAAGTAGTGCCACTCCTCCACTGTGTTTTATAGAAAAGCAAAGAGATAAACAGCTTGATTTTGGTCTTACTTCTGCAGACTGACAAAATAATCCAAACATAATACTGTAACGTGTACTTACAAATCACAATGAAAAGAAGCTTCCAAGCGAGACCTCTATTTGAATTACAACCACTTGGTTGAAGGCTTTAAGAGCTCTTGAAATCATAACATATGTTTGTTTTGTATATTCTTACTGAGGCATTTGTTTCGGCTAGTGTCAGAGACAGGATACTGAGGTAAATGGACTTCTGATCTGCCTTAGTATGATGGCTTTCAAGCATTTTTTTCCTATTCAGCATAACTAATCATACATCATGCTTTACCCAAAGTCATGAGGGAATTCTGCAGTTTCCATCCACAACCAGAGGAGCGTGCTACTGAAAAAATCTCAGTAATACAGAACTAATTAACAGTGATTTATTTTAATGAAGAGATTATCTGTTTTTTCCCAATAAAATTATAAGCATACAAAAATCTACCTGCCATTTATTTTTTTCCTTCTTTTAGGTTTATACCCACCAAATGACCCATCTGTACTACTTTCTATGTAAGAAACAAAGAGAACTACTTACATCTTTTGAAGAGCCAGATACTTTCTGCAAGTTATCTGTCTGAGCTGAAATGCTTTCTGTCACAAAAGCTATATGCTCTGCTTCAAGTAACTTATCAGGACAAATAAAAGGAGAAATGAGAAGTAGACTCCATCTGTTTAAGTCATCAAGGAACTGAAAAAAAAAAAAAAAAAAGTCTGTATAGCAAGCATTTTAAAATTATGACCATCCTAAATTAATTAAATTAATTCCAATTAAATTTCTAAATTAAATCCAGCCTTTCATGAAGGGTCTCTACCATTTCACACTCCCTATGAGGGGAAAAAAAAAAAGGGGGTAGAAGTCTGAACAATGAAGCAGGAACACATCAAAAGTAAAACTAAAAGTGACAACCCAAGCTTCTAAGCCAGTTCATACTTCAGCTTTCAGCTTTACAGGAAGAGCACAAAAGCGAGTGGGCACAAGACCATTACAGTGTCATTGGCACGGTAACTGTTGTGGTCAATTTGCCACTGACAACATCCCTCATTCAACCCAATCCTCCTCTCCAGTTCACCCTGCCTCCTTTCTCTCTTCTCCCCTGACTACACAAACCCATGGCCCTGCTGCCTGAGTTCTAGTGGCTGAAGGGCACTGTCTGCTGCTTAGCAGGGACTGAGAAAGCAGTCACAACACACAACCTGCCTTGGTCAGTCCCTACAGCCCCTCTAACTGGACAGTAGTCCAGGCAGCATTCATTCTAGTTGGGTAACAACCCTGCAGGAAAGATAACAGCCCCACTGTTAAGTCACATACACTGTCTCTATGCTCATCTGCCAAAAGACCAACCAATTTGTGAGCCACAAGTGACTCAAGAACTATATACTACACAGGTCTAGTTTTTACACCTAATTTACAAAGTTTCAGGACTTCTTCTGTAAAGCCAGTTATATAAAGACAGTTGTATTTTGTGGACACGTACAACCTCAGGACAAATAATTTAAAAAGTGATTTAAAAAAATCTTATAAAAATATTTGAAATAAAAGGCAAGGGTACTTCTGTGTTTAAAAATATATTAAGTCCTCATGCATTTGCACAAAAAATACTCATTCAGGATATAAGTCTAAGTTTAAAGAAATAACTCATTCAGACAAAATTTGTCCATAAGGTAGTCTATCCACTTAGCAGACCATTGTACAAACATTTCCTTCATTAAATTATAAAAATAGTTCCCCCTCTTGTCCTCACAAATGATCAAATAAAGCTCAATAGCTGGAATCAGTAGACCAAAGAACAATTCTAAGAACTTCAAAGCTTCTCAATACATAACCTGATCCCACACTATAATACATCAGCTTTTATGTAGGTATTGCACCGAACTTTATTCTTCTGCCATGTTTTAAAAGTGAAAAACATTAGAAACAGGTATTTTGCTATTACTATACTAAGGACACATACTTTGCACACCTTCAGTAATTTTATGTGGATACAAAGATAATGTCCCTATAGCCCACTGAATGTGTACATTGCTCCACAACTAAAACGAAACCACACAATATTAATTCAATGGTGACAAACTGCCAATCCGACCAGCTTTACTGAGTACAGAAGCTGCAAGAGTCAACATTGCTACCTTCCAGGGGAAAGTGAACCGAACTCATGAAGCTTTATATTATCTTAAGCATCCAACTTGATTAGAGATCAAACAAAAAACTTCACAGGTTACCATTTATGACTTGCTGGTATCTTATCTTGAGGAAGTTATGAATCACAGTCCAGAGGCAGTTATACCTACTCAAAAAGCAAAATAGCTCAGGTAGACTAGCAGCCAAAGAAGCATGCTAGTTAACCTTCTCCACACCCCCACATCCCCCCCCCCCC